CCACAACCTAGAACCCCAGCCCCCATGAACCCAGAACCCATCCATCCCTGCGATTTTCTTCTCCCTCCACCCCCTGCGATTCTCTCTCTCTCTCTCTCTCACAAATGGAAGAAGAAGACCAGCAAAAAGTCGCAGATCTGATCAAAGAGCTCGTCATTCGCTTGCTCTCACACGAGTCAAGGGTTTTCTTGGGTAAGGGAAATAAGGAAAAGGGTTGGAACAATGGTGTTTTGTTAGTTTCGAAAGACCCAGAAAAGCTTCGGGAAATTGCATTTAGGGAGTTTGTGAACTTGATTAAGGAAGAAAATGAAGTTTCTGAAGAGCTTTTGGTGAGGGGGGTGGGGGGGTTTCTGGGTTCGTGGGATATGGTTGCAGGTTGGGCTGTTGGAGCTTGATCAAAGAGAGAGAGAGATATTTTGTTTTAATTTTTTTTTGGTTTTATGGTTTTTAATATTTTAATCAATTTAAAATTTAAATTAAAAAAAAAGTGGGACCATAGTGCCACGTAGGCAACTAACGGTGGAATCTGACGGAAACCTAACGGTGGAATTGGATTGTAAAAAATTTACAAGCTTGGGGTATGCGATTGTTAAAATTGAAAATACGGGGACTAACATGTCTTAAGGGTGTAAGTACAGGGTACTAAATTGTAATTAACCCTTAAATTAAAGATTAGTTCATCTTTGTGTTATGAGTTCATTAGAAGCAGCAGTATGCAATGAGCTGAATTATGCCATTGCCAAGCATCGTAAATATTCATGGTTCACGTAACCAAGAGGCAAGATCATAAGAAACTATGAAATATGTTTGCCTATACGGTTAACTTGTTTGTGACCATTTTAGCTATAGGTTTAGGTTTGGGGGTGCAGGCACATCCCTGCTTAGGGAAAAGGCAATCCACGACAACCATCACAAACTCAATTGACACAGAATGATGAAGAACAAGTAGAAGATTTAAAAAAAATTAAAATAACCGAATACCAGGAAGAAAACATTTTAACGCCCTACAGAGGCCATCAACACCAAAAATCAATTTAAGAATTTCAATGTCTTAATTCTCTCTCACGATGTACTTGACATATATAGGATAAAAATGCAAAGGAAACAAACCTAAAGCATTTGCAAAACGTACTTCTATTCAATATCAAAATATGCACTGACGTACATATCCATAACAAAACATCAGGGTCAAGAAATTGCAAACAATACTACTAAATCTTTAAATTCAAAATTAGAACAGAAAAAACATGCTCATTGTCCAACTAATTGGGAAGGCTATGAGGAAAACTGGTCCAGTTTACGAGTCGGCAATTGTAACCTCCACTTCCACACCAGGTTCAATTGTAATGGATGTAATTTGCTTGACCACATCAGGAGAGCTAAAGAGGTCAATAACCCTCTTGTGGACACGCAACTCAAATCTGTCCCATGTGTTGGTACCTGTAAATCACAAACAAAATTTTAAAGATACATACACAACCCTTTAAAATGCAAATGCAGACAATGTATTTCTGTAACTGGTCAGGTATGAACAGGCCACAGTAAGTTACAAAATTTACTTATGTAACCTAGCACAAACAAGGGTAACCCTTAACCAACTCTAAGAATGACCACAAAAGCCATAACCCTTGTCCATAAACTAGCCCATAAGGCATTCATATATACACTAAAACAATGATAGAAATATAACAATGTCATTTGTCAAGCCGTAAATTAAGAGCAAGCACATTTCACACAGAAACATACCTTCACCACAAGGAGCCTTCCTGGTGGTAATGTGCAGAACCTTGGTTGGCATTCTCACGGGTCCCTTAACCCTGAGCCTCTTGTCCTTTGCACCACGAACAAGATCAGTGCAAACTATCAACAAAACAGATGTCAATCCAACAGGCTAAAGAAATATTCAAACCAGAAAATGTGAATTCTTATAATCTAAACAAACTTGTGTAGAAACAATGGTGGATAAACCGATTTGGACTATGTCACAAAGCAATTAAAGAAAAATAAAATTGAATAACAGCTAGACAATCAAGCTCATAAAAACCAGCAAAATCTAAGAGATTAAGAAGATAATTCAGGTATGACAAACCAATCTTATTGAAAAGGCATTGCACTGGTTTCATGTTACATGTACACAATATTATATTGCAAGTACAAAGTTTTCTCCAAAGTTCAATTCGCACTAACAAATATGCAGCTACTAAACGGGTGTTACGACAATAGAAAATGGGAAGATGGAAAAACTATTAAACCCTAAGAGATACTAATTACTAATACAATAGTCCATTTCAAATGAAAAATAAAGAATCAGCACGTATTACAAGTAATAAGAATCGGGGAAAACTAAAATAAATATAATAAGCAAGAGCAGAGACCTTTCTCGAGGTTCTTCACGTTCTTGGAAGAGAGAGTGATCCTGATCTTGTGGATCTGCTCCTGAGGCTCCTCCAGCCCTGGCTTGTTTGGTTTCATCGCTGCGTAAGCCATTGTGTTCAAGCTACTTGTTCGCTTTCCTACATATCGAGATAAAACACCGGTTAATCACATACATCATATTCAATCTATAAGAAATCAGAAAACGAAATGAACTTGGTTTCAGTCTGGGAAAATCACAGACCTGGGTGTGGGTGTGGAGGGGAGGAAGGAGGTCTGGAGCTGCGGCTTCTTCAATACCTCTTTCTCAAAGCGATGGAAGGAGCAGCCAAGTCTTGTGAGTTTATATATCATGGGTTATTAGGGTTTTGCCACCATGTGCGCGAAAGTTAAGGCCGGGTCGGGTTGACGATTTTTGAACGTGGGTGACTCTGGCCCAAATACTCTGGGTTGGTTGGGCTTCATCAGATGGATTATATGTTTTACTTTCTGTGTTTCCCTACTACTTGTTATTTATCATGATAACAGGGTTCATTTGTTGCCAAATTTGGTTTTGGAAAATCTTCTTGGAAATTTTTAGTGACCATATTCTTGGTTCCCATTTTGTTCTATGGTACCTCTTCATAAAACAAAATTATAGACTATATTATTTATTTTTTGTCTGCCAGTGCCGCCCTCAAATTAACAGGAGAAGTTATACTTATTTACAGAACATCTAATGACCTTGATTATTGGTGGTATACAAACCCAAAACAAGAAGTAGTTTCGTACTCAAAACACTGAAAAGAGGCGTAGCATTCTGTAACACCATTCACTTTTTTATGATCTTTTCTTATTTTGTTAGAAAAACAGTAAACAAAGCACAAAATTTTTACCAAAAGAATCCTTGCTCTTTCCATAAAAGATAGTAGTAAACCAATAAATAGAAAGAAAGGCCTAAAGGTACTCCTCACAAAGTTACCAATCCTTGTGTCATGAGACTAATGACTAATGGACAATTTGTTCTCATATACAGCAAGATCCAGAGCATAACAAGAAAGGGTCACGGGTTAAAATGCAACACTTGAAAGAGATGAAACATTGAAAGGAGAAAGAATTTCAATGGTGGCCACTGTCATTCTCATGCTCCATTTCTTCAGCATCCTCAAAGCGTTGATCATTGATCTGAAGCTGCCAGGAAGAAAAAAAAAAGCGATCAATATCATACGCTGCTCTCAATTAAAGAAACAAAAAGCCCATACAAAGGCACCAACTCCATAGCAGCATTTAATGGATATTCACAGGCCTACCTCAAGCACGGTACGAGCTAGGTCATGATCCCCATTAGATTGACCAATTGAAGGATTTTCAGAAACATGCCACTCAGAATCTTCCCCTGAAAATACCATCATATTCAAAACAAAGATATCAGACAACAATTGATTTTTTATCACACACATTGACACATAAACTGGTACAAATTGTTACATGGTGCATCCCATACCTGTTGCGTCATCTTCCAACTGATCAGCACTAAAAATCCAATTATGCTCTTCTTCCTCTTCTAGAAAAAGATAAAAACAAATGCATGATATTAGGATGCAACTCATGAAGCAAACATAATACATTAGCATTCAAAAAGAGAAAATAAGAAATAAAATACACCCTGGCATTAAGAGAAAATCTACCAACCTTCAATTGGTTCAGGATTAAGCTCAGCACACTCACAAAATACCTCAAACAGAGAATCCACTGCCACATAGAAATTAATATGCGAGTTACACTTCACCAGGAAAATACTAAGAAAAATCAAGACAGTATGACCTTATTATAGCCACAATTGAGAGAGAGAGAGAGAGAGAGAGAGAGGTACATTGGTTAGGATCTGAAGGAACAAGCCTCATTTCTGTGATCTTGGACAAATCTAAGACACCATTGCATTCTGAATCTGAGCCATTGGACTCATGGTCGTCATCCTCAGTTTCAATCTATAAATATAAAAACATTAATCAGAAAAGCAACGCACAAAAAGGCCACAAAACTTGAAATTAGACATTGTAGTTAATGATCAGTCAGGAGACTCAGGACCAACAATCCTAAACCCAGCACAGCATACGGTAAAGACACAAACCTTGGATACAAAATAAGTAAACAAGTGATTCTTGTGTACAGTAGATAAATACTAAAAAGATCTGAATTTCAATGAGATACAGTTCCTCACACACAGAAATATCTTATTCGCACAATGGGTCACTTTTCTCTTTAATGTTTGTGGAATTAACATAAGGACATGATTCTAAAGCTCACGAAAACAACAAAGACTTTTCAACTTATTAGAGTTCATATCACACAAGCAACAAGAACTGACAAAAAATAAATGAAAGAACGAAGAAAGGGGTTATAGATTCAGTGAATCAAATAAAATTGCCATACAACTTTGACACCAAACAATTGGAAGAACAGTTTTGAGACCAAGTACATTTCAGACGAGATAAAGATAAAATCCTATATTACTGCTGGAGTGCCTTGATGAACATGAAAGCAAATACCTGAGTGTATATACAAGGAGAGGTGTAGGCCTCTGGGTCCCTGGATACAGCATGCAGTGATATAGACAAGAAGTCCACAGCATAACCTTTCGCCCTGTCAACATCACTCAACCAGACCACTTTCCTGCAAAATCCCAGCTAACAGTTTGAATGGATGCTATTTTGGTAGAAGGAAAAAGAAAAAAAAAGTTTTCACATCCCTTCAGATACGTTTTCTTTACTCTATCCCCTTAATTTTCACCCAAACACAAACATATAAAATCATGAGAGCTATAATGGCGTACTTGGTGGAGATGTAGAGAGTGCCAGGGGACTCAGGAGGGCGATTACCAAGGACGATAGAAACACAAGGCGGAACATGCATCAGCTCCTCGCCATTCTCCACATCCAGAACTGGTTCGTCAACACCATTTCTTTCAACTCTTGCAGTGAACTCTCTAAGCCCTGCCACCATTTTGCTCGCTGACTCAGGCTTCTTCCTTTTCTTTGACAAAAGAAAAAAAGAGAGTTATGGACAGCCCATGATCACTAGATTGCCCCAATTAACTTACTGAACAAACTAATTTCCAAACTATGAGTGTATTTGAAGTTAACAAATAAAATGGGAGGCCCTAGCCTCAAATTTGATGAGGAAAGAGCCCTAGTAAAATTTGATATTTTTTTGTAAGTCATAACCAATGATGAGCTCTCTCTCCCATTATGATAAAGAAAGAAGGGCGATTAATAAACTAACATTTTCTCAGAAAACAAACGGTCCTCTAAGCTGAAAAGAATCGATAACGTTATCAAAGCCCAACGGTTGAAGAATTATCAAATTTATCAAATCCATGAAGTGGATAAAACGAACCAACAGCAACATATACCATCTTTTCAAAACAAATACAGAAAAATTAATCCGGAAACACATTCAAAGAATAATAATAATAACAAATCGGCGTTTACGATTTCATACCTCGATTCTGATGTTGGAGCCAAGTATGTGATCGATACCACTCTTTCCTTTTCTTCTATCTACTGCAAAACATGCAAGAGCTAGGAAGAGCTCTCGTAGTCCACTCAGAAGACACTGACTTTGATTTCTGTGGTTTTCTAGGGTTTTACCAATCCTTGCTTTTGAGGGTTTAAAGCGCCATTTTCCTTTTTCTCAGACTCCGAAAATGAACCGCCAATTTGTTTTTATTTAGCGACGCGGGCTTCTACGTTTAAGTTGGGCAAAATAACCATCGCGGCCCAAATTATTTTAAATTGTCTTTTTGTACGGTACAACTTTATTTAACAATTAAACAAAAATAGTTGAGATTTGATTTGAATTTTTATTTTTAATGTTAGCAATATATTTTTTGCCTGTGATAAGGTCTCACCAATCAAGATATTAAAAAATATATATAGAGCCACGGATTAAAATTTGGACTAGGGATAATTAATTGACAATAATAGTCCATTTTAATTGAAAAAGTCTGGTCCAGTCCAGCCCACCAAACAGGGCCAAAGACTCTTTCAATCAATCCATTCTTTCCAAGAAATACCATGTTCATCTGCCTTAGTTGCTAGTATGGATTTTTGTTCCTTTTTTACGTCAAGTGGTGAGTTTCCGAAACATGGCATCACAACGTTAATAATTCGAAAATTTAAACATCCGATTAATGCAAAAGGTTGATACAAAATCGGATTTCCTTAAGTAACATCCACAACAAGAAATACTTGAATTGATGAAAGAAAACATCCAAGACACACAGAGTAGTGCGATTAATGCAAAAGTTGATACAAAATCTGAAGAGCACAAAAGCGAGCAACTATAATCTCTAGGCTTCTCTGTCCTTCCATGTAAATAATACCCAAACCTTCCACCTTGCTTTCCTAACCTAAGCAACCAGAGTGCTGGCAGTGGTTGACTCGCTGTAAAACAAAGCAGAATTCACAACATTATTTTACGGAAACACAGAACAAATCTGTAAGCAACGAATCTAAACATTGGCGGCACATACGCATAAATAAATGAGACTAAACATCTGCTTAATTAGATACTCTACATCATTAAGATAAAGCCCTTTTTGAATTGCTGACCAAATATACAATCTGAGAAGACTCATATGCTTATGTTCTTGTGTGATATACAGATTTCAGCCCCACAAACAAAATAGAAAAGCATACTGCCCCCCCATCAGATTAAGATACAACTCGGCAGTTGATAAGCAAAGAACCCTATTTGTTCTACTTCCTTACACATGCAAAGCAAAGGCAAGCAACATGCCCCGAACAGCAATACCAGAACCATAACAATGGTGAAGTTGATAAGCAAAGAACCCTATTTGTTCTACTTCCTTACACATGCAAAGCAACAAGGCAAGCAACATGCCCCTAAGCAATGCCAGAACCATAACAATGGTGAAGTTGGAAAAGAAGTGATAAAGAATACTTACTATTTCCAGACAGGAGGAAGCTTCTTTGTTTTCTTGTAGTAACGAGAGAGCCTGTGGATCCTGCTCTCAACCAAAATCAACCGAAACTTTGAATCCTTATCCTTCCTATTCCTCTCCAAATGCTTCCTAATTGACACTGCCTTCTTGATAAGATGGTAAAGATCCTCAGGAATTTCAGGAGCAAGACCTAGCCAACAACAAATGGAAATTATAAAAAATTTCCACATACTTTTTTAAGGAAAACAAAAAGAAAAAGTAGGCTGTCATTTTGTTAGTAAGAAGGAAACGAAAAACGACAATGCCAGAGACTTGTTTGAGAACAAAACCAAACTCTTAATCTTCTTTACGCTTTCAGAGAAGATGAAATGTACAAAATGAAGACATAATGGTCATCTTATCGAGCTAGCCTAATCAATTAGTGCTTAAATCTATTATCTTCACCTAAGTAATCGAGATCAATGGAGAAATGGGTTTCAATCCCACAAGTCCCACTAAACATCCAAACCTTCTAACATAATTTTTATAGCAACTAAAAAGTGCAATAAAACTCATATAGAAAAATTTTATTAAAAGAAAGGCACACCATGAGCTTTAAGAATACGCAAGATCTTGCTTCCAGTCACGCTCTTAACCTGAGCAATGCCATGCGAGTCACGAAGAATCACACCGATCTGAGATGGAGTCATACCCTTCTTTGCAAACTTGCAGATGTTCTCTTCAACCTTAATCACAGATAAAGCCCACTTAAATTAACATCAACAATTACATACTTAAATATAAATCTTGGATTTTTCATTTACTTACATCTGGAGCAGTGACCTTCAACCAGCTAGGAGAACTTCTCTTGTATGGCAGGGCTGAGGCTGACATGCCCTTTCTGCAAGCCCCCAGATAAAATTAAAAAGATAAATAAATAAAAATTAGAAAATGGTAGTATGAACATAAATACATAGAGAGAGAGAGAGAGAGAGAGAGAGAGAGAGAGAGACAGAGAGAGAGAGACAGAGAGAGAGAGAAGCAGTACCCATGACTGTGCATACGACCCATGATGGGAGAGATGGAACTGGAGATTGTCTCTGTCCTTAGGTTCTCTGAGGCGAGCCGCAAATGGTTTTCCTCTCCTTTCTCAGTTCAGGTTTTCTAACTAGGGTTTATATGTGCAGGCCAATTTGGGTTTCAGAAGCCCATTTTGGTGGGTTGGATCAGAGTTCGGCCAATGCCCAGTAGAAAGGACCAAATGGCCATAACTAGCGGTAACTTTGACTTTGGGTACAATGGGCCTTTGGCCCAATAAAATAAGACAATAGTCACGGTTTTTGTGGATTGGATGAAGTGGAGAGAGAGAGAGAATTATTTATAAATGGCTTAAATGCGAAAATATGTGCCGACAAATTTTTGTATCCCCACGAATTTGTGCCGCGATAGATCTTTTTCGGTGAAATTTGTTCAGTATTCCAACAATAAACCACTTGTTAAAATCTAACTCAAGGCTTCTTTCATTAGTAAAATATTTAAATAATCATTCACTCAATAAATAATAATTAAAATATTATTATAAATTAAAGTAATTATAAAAGGCTAAGATATTACTTAAATGCAAATATTCAACTAAAGAAGTTGGGTTGACAAAAAAAAAAAAACTAAAGAAGTTGGGAAAAAAAAGAAGCAAAGAAACTAATTTAATATTTATTATAAAAGATAAATAAAATAAAATAAGTAAAATCGGCCTAAGCGCTAGGCGGCCTCTTTTTTCATTTTCCAGATTTTAAAGAAAATACGCTGACTCCTCTGAGCCGGGTCCTCCTCTCTCTCATGACAGACCACCACCACCAGGCCTCCAGTCGCGACAACCACCACAAGGCTGCGACCCGCGACCCGCGATCCCGAACCTCGTAAAGAATTTTGGGTTGTCCTCTTCGGCCGAAACAAGTGCATTTGCTGAGGACATCTTCGCAAGAGTGCCCGGTAAAGAATCTGGTTTGAATGTGAGTTGTTATTCCAAATTAAATGAATGTGTAGACTGAGGATTTTAGCCTCCAGTTTTGTCTGTCACATCGTGTTTTTCCTGCTTGTTACTCGTGTATATCAACTATATCATAAACAAGAGAGGGAAGCTGCGATGTTAGTGAAGAAGCAAAAAACGTATTCTCTCTTGGATGCAGATGACGATGATGGTGATAGATCTTCTGCCAGGTTGTTTCTGAGTCCAGGAAAGCTGATTCCCATAAGAAACTATTCAAGAAGAAGGTCTTGAGTCAAGAAGATGAAGATGATGAGGTTAATTAGTGATGAAATATATTCTATTGGCCATAAATTAGGTTGTTGCGACTTCATAAACGATTTTTCCTAAACAGGAAATTCTCACAACACCCAAGTATGAATCTTTTTGTATTAGTGCAATTTTGGAGGTGATTTATATTGCAGCTTGAGTTTTACTTTCAAGCACGGCCTCTTAAGTGGTAATTGAAATCGTACATAAACATGTAGGTTGAAGAGGATGATTTTGAAGAATTCTTAAGTAGCTCACAGGTAATTTCTAGTTTATTTAAATATATCTCTCTTCTACAGTTTTGGAGATTGATATATATATATATATAATATATGAATTAATGATATTATCTTATTAAAGAAAGATAATATCATATAATTAAGATATTATCCCTAGTAATTAATTGGTCAAATAAATTGGTTTAATTAATTAATTTAAGGGATAATCTTCTTTTCCACGTGGCATGCTGTGATTGGAGACGAAAATATTTGCTCCTTAGTGTAATAAGAAGAGCTCCTCAAAAATTGACACATTGCTTGCCTGCCTACCGCATACTGTAATCTTCAATTTCGTATTATTGGCAGGCATATAGATTGTTTTCATAAATGTTTTAAGATGACATATCTGCCCTCTTGTTCCTCTTTCTTCGTTATATATGTTTTTACTTGAAACTAACAAATAGAGCATTTGACATCTTAAATTTTAGTGTGGACAAGGTATAGACATGGTGGTGACTCTTTGAATACAGTATAGCCGCGTAGCGATACTCTTTGAATATTCGAATACACATAGAGGGTATAGCCGTGCGGCCATACTATTTAAATATTCGAATATATGTCAAGCGTATAGCCGATCGGCTATACTATTTAAATATTCGAATATATATAAAGATATTACTCAATTGCAATAGAAAATATTAAAGCTAACAAACTAATTTTGTATAAATAAAAAATAAAAAACAAAGTCTACAAAATAATTTAAAATAATTAAATACTTGTTAAAGATTTGAATTATGACACATTTATCATCTCAAAGTTTTGCACAATGTCACATATAATTGTAAATGCCGCTGTGTAAAAGAAGATGAATGTTGTTTCTTGTCTTAGCTTGATTCTATGGCTAGTTTGATTGCATACATACCAATTTGGAATGTGAAAATGCCGCCTTTCTCTTTACCAAATTTTATTTAAATTTTCATTTTCTTAAATTTGAGATAAATACAACACTGAGAATTTTTTATAAAAAAAAAATAGATTTATAGATTTTTTTTTTTTTGTGTGAAAGAAGTAAAGAAGTGTTCTGACACAAAAAAAAAAAGAGTAAAGCAGTGGGCTTCTTTCATTAGTAAAATATTTAAATACTAATTATAATATAATTATAAATTAAAGTAATTACAAAAGGCTAAGATATTACTTATATACATATATTAAAGTTCAACTAAAGAAGTGGGGAAAATAAAAAGCAAAGAAACTAATTTTATATTTAAAAGAAAAAAAAAAGTAAAATCGGCCTAGGCGCTAGACGGCCTCTTTTTTCTTCCCCCGATTTTAAAGAAAACACGCTGCCTCCACTGAGCCGGGTCCTCCTCTCTCTCACGACAGACCACCACCACCAGGCATCCACCCACGACGACCACCACAAGGCTGCGACCTGCGACCCTCGACCCCGAACCCCGTAAATAATTTGGGTTGTCCTCTTCGGCCAAAACAAGTGCATTTGCTGAAGACATCTTCGCAAGAGTGCCCGGTAAAGAATCTGGTTTGAATGTGAGTTGTTACTCGAGTATATCAGCTATATCGGAAACAAGAGAGGGAAGCTGCGATGTTAGTAAAGAAGCAGAAGACGTATTCTCTCTTGGATGCAAATGGCGATGATGGCGATAGATCTTCTGCCCATGTTGTTTTTGAGTCCAGGAAAGCTGATTCCCATAAGAAACTACTCAGGAAGAAGGTCTTGAGTCAAGAAGATGAAGATGATGAGGTTAATTCTTTTTAACTTTGAAAGGTAATATTATGTATTTGTTTCTCATGGTTACTGTTGTTTTAACTGAGTGCAATGATGTAGGTGATTGCACAAGAGGAAGAAGAGAGACTTGTTAAAAGACGAATTCCCCAGATGACGATGATGGTTTGAATTCTAGTCTAGGTGATTGCCTATTTAGGAAACTGAGAGTGCTTGCTTTAGGAAGTGAGGCTTCTCTGCTAACATCTTCATCTTCATTTGCTTTTTAGCAATATAATATGTCAGATAGGGGTGGCATCTGAAAGTTCTTCTTCATAACAATTTCTCTTAAGCATGCATCTACATGTGAGAAAGTTAGCTTATATTTGACGTCTGTGTTTGTGTAGGAGGCAAAAGCTTGGCAAAGAAGAAAGAAGGTGGGGTATGTTTGTGTTTGGTGTGATGTGTGTTTCTCTTTGTACTATGGTCCTTACTATTTCAGTTTCCCAGTTTTTAAACTTTAATTTCATTAGAACTTATATTTTGTGATTGTTATCAAGGCTCTGCTCTAATTTATCCTCCAAAAGAAGCTCTACTCTAATCAAAATGTGATTGTTGATTCTTGTGTTTCCTTTAGATTTGGAGGATGGAGGTGGAAAGAAGAGGAAATTGGTTTATTAGAGTGATTTCTTGAATATGATCAGGTGGATAGTGCTCCTTGAATGAAAACTAACAAACCACCGAGAAAGAAGTCTTTTAGAGCATGATGTTACATAGAAGTATGCTTCATATGCTCATTAGTGATGAAATATATTCTATTGGCCATAAATTAGGTTGTTGCGACTTCATATAAATGATTTTTCCTAAACAGGAAATTCTCACAACACCCAAATCCCAATTGTGATATCTTTTTTTTTTGTATGAACCACGAGGTGGTCCTGGATGGGCCCCAGCTATGGGTGGCACCTTTAAGCCTTAACCACAACCCAGACTAATCCCCGCTCACACCGGGTCGGCTCGTAAGGGGTAAAGTGTTGGCTAAAGTGGTGACTCCATACGAGAGCGGGAAATTGTGAGATCTTTCACTTGTTCACTAGTATGAATCTTTTTGTATTAGTGCAATTTTGGAGGTGATTTATATTGCAGCTTGAGTTTTACTTTCAAGCACGGCCTCTTAAGTGGTAATTTATAGTTTATTTAAATATCTCTCTCTTCTACTGTTTTGGAGATGGATATATATAATTTGCAATTCCTTGAAGATGGTACAGAGGTGATTGGTAATTCAATGGTGATGGTATATATCAGATCAGATGGGTTGGTTGGTGCGTTGGGTGCTAACTGGAAATTGGCATGTAAAGCCAGATGATAATGATTTGTTTCAAGAAGTCATTTCCAAGTTGAAACTGTGATTGATATTTACTAGAGTAACGTACGTATGATCCTCCCATGCATGAGATACACCAATCATATGCATAATGCATGCAGTGCGCTAGCAAAATACCATTTCCTTTACTTTTGTTATTTTTACTGGAAGTAAACCTTAATTGTTGCTCTTGGTAGCCATTGATGGTTGCATGGAAAGGCTGAGTTTTTTAGCATATGCGTTGTGCAGGACACTGATCTTAGGGATGAGGATTTGGCTGCTTGAGATGGTAACGACACAGAGTGTATACATAATTCGAGATGCACCCGTGTCAAGCAAAGTGATGTGATATTACTCCCCTGTGCAGGGCCCAAGGTATGATGATGATGATGATGAGAGTGTTGATAAGCTTGCTCGCTGCTTAGTGTTGTAAGAAGAGCTCCTCTAAAATTGACACATTGCCTGCCTGGCTGCCACATACTATAATCTTCACTTTCGTATTATTGGCAAGCATATAGATTGTTTTGATAAATGTTTTATGATTTTTATATCTGCCCTCTTGTTTCTCTTTCTTTGTTATATATGTTTGTATCCGAAACTAATAAATAGAGCATTTGACATCTTAAATTTTAGGGTAAAGGGTCTAAAACCCCCCTGGACTATTTGGCTTGTCGAAATGTC